CACTTTGTTGCCGCAGGGCTAGAGTCTGAGGTGCGCCGTGGCGTCATAGCCTAGCTCACAGCAACCTTGCAAAAAACTCCTGGGCTCAAGCGATCCTCCTGCCTCAGCCTCCTGAGTAGCTGGGACTACAGGCATGCGCCACCATGCCCGGCTAATTTTTTTTTGTATATATATTTTTTAGTTGGTCAATTAATTTCTTTCTATTTTTGGTAGAGAAGGGGTCTCACTCTTGGTCAGGCTGGTTTCAAACTCCTGACCTTGAGCAATCCGCCCGCCTCGGCCTCCCAAAGTGCTAGGATTACAGGCATGAGCCACCGAGCCTGGGTAAAAAAAAAAATTATTTTAAGCAGTTCATCATTAGTGGGAAAAGTGCTCTTTGGAGATTTTATCAAGCATTTTGTCACGGATGCTAATTTCCTCCCTGAAGGAGGTCGTAAATTACAGCCCCAAAAAGTTTGTGCCCCAGATCAGGTCTGGGACATTTTTTTTCTTTCTTTTTTTTTTTTGAGACAGAGTCTCACTTTGTTGCCAGGCTAGAGTGAGTGCCGTGGCATCAGCCTAGCTCACAGCAACCTCAAACTCCTGGGCTCAAGCGATCCTCCTGCCTCAGCCTCCCGAGTAGCTGGGACTACAGGCATGCGCCACTATGCTCGGCTAATTTTTTCTATGTATATTAGTTGGCCAATTAATTTCTTTTTTATTTATAGTAGAGACGGGGTCTTGCTCTTGCTCAGGCTGGTTTTGAACTCCTGACCTTGAGCAATCCGCCCGCCTCGGCCTCCCAAGAGCTAGGATTACAGGCGTGAGCCACAGCGCCCGGCCAGTTTCTGTTTCTTGATTTAGCTGATGATTACATAATGTGTTCACTTTGTGTAAGTGTATTGAGCTGTATACCTGTGGTTATATGTTTTTCGGTATGTATGTTATTCTTCAATAAAAAGTAATAAAATAAAAATACGGATTTTTAAATTATTTTTCTTTCTTTCTTTCTTTCTTTTTTTTTTTGAGACAGTCTCGCTTTGTTGCCCAGGCTAGAGTGAGTGCCGTGCCATCAGCCTAGCTCACAGCAACCTCAATCTCTTGGACTCAAGGAATCCTTCTGCCTCAGCCTCCCAAGTAGCTGGGACTACAGGCATGTGCCACCACGCCCGGCTGATTTTTTCTAGATATATTAGTTGGCCAATTAATTTCTTTCTATTTATAGTAGAGACAGGGTCTCGCTCTTGCTCAGGCTGGTTTTGAACTCCTGACCTTGAGCAATCCGCTGGCCTAAGCCTCCTAGAGTGCTAGGATTACAGGCGTGAGCCACCGCGCCGGGCCATTATTTTTTCTTTTTGTTCTTTTTCCAGCATCTTGTGAGTGCCCTGGCATCAGCCTAGCTCACAGCAACCTCAATCTTCTGGGCTCAAGCGATCCTCCTGCCTCAGCCTCCTGAGTAGCTGTGACTACAGGCATGTGCCACCATGCCCGGCTGATTTTTTCTATATGTATTAGTTGGCCAATTAATTTCTTTCTATTTATAGTAGAGATGGGTCTCGCTCTTGCTAAAGCTGGTTTTGAACTCCTGACCTTGAGCAATCCACTGGCCTCAGCCTCTCAGAGTGCTAGGATTACAGGCGTGAGCCACCGCGACTGGCCAGGGATTGTTTTAAGTTGAAAACATGACTCTCGACTGGGCATAGTCGGCACTCACTCTAGCCTGGACAACAAAGTGAGGCTCTGTTTCAAAAACAAAAAACATGACTCTCCAGCTATTATGTATCTATAATTATTAAAAATACAAAATTAAAAAAAACCCACAACTCTCACATAAAAACATGATGGGCACATGCCAAAGATTTTATTGACTTCACTAATGAAGGAACCAGAAGAATAATAAAGCTGGTGCAAAGGAAGATATGAGCAATGGATATGTAGAGACAGTAGAAAAAAGGGTGCTGGAATTAGGTTGGAAAATTGTTTTGTTTTTTCTTTCCCCATATAGCCAATGGAAGGGTTGGAAAATTGGATACAAATGGGTGAATGTCTTTCAGGACAGGTTGTCTGTTCTGCCAGGCAAAAGTCATTTGAAATTTGAGAATCTTCCACAAATTATCATCTAACTTTACTGGGTCTAGTCCCTAATTAACAGTTAAATAGTGGGTCAGATGAAGTAACAGCTAGAATTGCAGCAGGGCTTAGAAGAGGGTATTACACAGCGTTCCACTGTGACACTGACCAAGTATGAAGCAATATTCCTGCCTGATGGGATTCTTTGGTCTTTTCTTTTCTTTTTCTTTGAGACAGAGTCTCGCTTTGTTGCCCAGGCTAGAGTGAGTGCCGTGGCGTCAGCCTAGCTCACAGCAACCTCAAACTCCTGGGCTGAAGCGATCCTCCTGCCTCAGCCTCCCGAGTAGCTGGGACTACAGGCACGCACCACCATGCCCGGCTAATTTTTTCTATATATATTATTAGTTGGCCAATTAATTTCTGTCTATTTATAGTAGAGATGGGGTCTCTTGCTCAGGCTGGTTTCGAACTCCTGACCTTGAGCAATCCCCCTGCCTCGGCCTCCCAGAGAGCTAGGATTATAGGCTCTTTGGTCTTTTCATGTTCCCCTTTACTTAAGCCCTCTAGAATTGTGGCTCAGCCTGTTGAAACTTCAGAGATGTCACCAGCTGGGGACCAGAGCTAGAAAGCACAGTCCTCTGAGATGTGGGCTATGCTTTCCATCAGAGGCTTTGCCCATAACTAGAATCCATGAGGTCCAAAATTCAGGGTGGAGAGTCACACTGTTCCCTCCAAAGGAAGCTTCCTGTGACCAGTATAGAATTGGGGACTCCAGGTCCAGGGCATTGGTCATTGTAGGAAACAGGCCAGAGAATGGTTATGACTAGAGGATTGTTAAGGCCTGTATGTCCTTCTCAGTGATTGCAAACGAGTGGAAACATAAATCTATGCTCAAATCCGTAGCTGTAAGAGTGAATGTGAGCCGGCACGGTGCCTCAAGCCTGTAATCCTAGTACTCTGGGAGGCCGAGGCGGGAGAATCACTTGAGCTTAGGAGTTCAAGACCAGCCTGAGCAAGAGCGAGACCCTGTCTCCACTAAAAATAGAAAAATTAGGCTGGGCGCGGTGGCTCACGCCTGTAATCCTAGCAGTCTGGGAGGCGAGGTGGGTGAATTGCTCAAGGTCAGGAGTTCAAGACCAGCCTGAGCAAGAGCGAGACCCCGTCTCTACTATAAATAGAAAGAAATTAATTGACCAACTGATATATATATAAATATTAGCCAGGCATGGTGGCGCATGCCTGTAGTCCCAGCTACTCGGGAGGCTGAGGCAGGAGGATCGCTTCAGCCCAGGAGTTTGAGGTTGCTGTGAGCTAGACTGACGCCAGGGCACTCACTCTAGCCTGGGCAACAGAGTGAGACTCTGTCTCAAAAAAAAAAAAAAAAAGGAAGATCCTTGGATACAAGTCCTGAACAAATTTACACGAGGCCGTAGAATGTAAACTCTGATCAAAAATCTTTCCGCGCTCTTTAGGGATAATCCTATGACCTTGAGCCAATTACTTAAACACCAAGCTTAAGTGCGCATCTATAAAATGGGACTATCAGCTCCCCTTAGGATGGCCGTGAAGGTCAAGAGATTTTGTGTGTGCATGGCTTCTGAACCAAGTCTATGCTCCCGCGCCGAGGGCTAGAGAAGTCTTCCACGTGCCATGCCCCAGGTTCGTAAGTTCCCCAGAAGGCTCCACAAGCCCCGCCCCGCCCGCATCCTGGGGTGACGTCACCGGCCGAGTTGTCTACTGACGTTATCTCCAGGCCGGCTGGCTTCCTAGCCTCTTCTCCGGAAACCTCCGACTCCTGGTACCTGGCCTCCAGCTTCCGGTTATTTTTTTTTCCTCTTCGTAGCCCCAATTCCTTCCCTCCCATTTTCCCACCTAAATATATCGGCTTTTCCTGCCTTCCTTCAAACTAGCGATTTTCAGTTCTTCCCTCTTGCACTCGGGCGAATTCCTCAGTGTCGTTTACTCTCTTAATTAATCGCCTCTCCAGCCTCACCCGTTCAGCTCGTTCTCTATTAATCCCATTACCACTGCTCCGTTTCTTTCGGCTATTTCCGCCTCCTGCCACCCACCCCCGACACAGCCTCCGGTTCTTTCCGGATCATCTCAGTTCCTGGTTCTGCCCCAGTCCCCATCGGTTTAGCTTATTTCCGGCTCCCCTGGGATCCTCATTCTTTCTTTAGCCCCACCCCTGTCATCGCTTTCGGCTCTTTCCGGCTCTCCCAGCTTCCTCCCATCTCCCGCTCAGCTCTGTTCGGCTATTTCCGCCTGTCTTCGGCTTCGCCCTCTCCCTTCGGCTCTTTCCGCCGACCTTCGGTCTAGCGATCTCCGGCCCTCTCCCCCACGTGACGCGGCCTCCGCCTCCGCCTCCTAGTGCCCCCTCCCACCTCACCCTTCCTCCCGCCTCAGCCTCCGGGCTCGTCCGGGCCGCGCCGCCATTTTGTGTGAATTCCTGACTGCGGCGGGGCCGGACAGCCGGGGCACCTAGAACGGGCAGACTGACAGTCTGCCTGTCTCCGCGGCCCGTTCCCTCTTTCCCTAAAATCCTTTTTTTTTTTTTAACCGCTCTCGCTCGCTGTCCCCTTTTCCCCTTCCCCTTCGCTTGCTCCATTGCGCGCGGCCCGCGCTAATTACACCCAACCACCCACCAGTGTCCGTGTCTCCCGGGTCTGCCGCCCCCGGGCCCGCGGGGGTGCGTGTGGGGGCTCTCGCCCCGATGAGGGCCCCGTGCCAGTGAGCGAGTGACCACAGGGGCGGGCTGCGGAAAGCAGGCGGCAAGCGGCCCGCCGAGGCCTAGGCCGCGCGGCCTACGCGGAGGTCGGCGCAGAGGTGATTCCGAAACCGAAAAAATATATACCCAATTCCCATCAGGAGCCCTCTGAGCTGAAGTGTGCCCCCCCCCGCCACGCCCAAGCAGTCCTTTTTCGTGCATTAACATCCCCTCCCCCCCAAAGGAACCATGGAGGCCGCGCCCGGGACCCCCCCGCCGCCGCCATCAGAGTCGCCGCCGCCGCCATCACCGCCGCCGCCATCAACGCCTTCGCCTCCTCCGTGTTCCCCCGACGCACGCCCGGCCACCCCGCACCTCCTCCACCACCGCCTCCCGCTCCCTGACGACAGGTCAGGCCCCCGGCAGGGCCGGGGCAGCGTCCCCGGGGGGAGGAAGAGGAGGAGGAGGAAGGGGGGCGGCCGCCATGTTGGGCCGGGCGGCGGCGGCGGAGGAGGAGGAGGAGGAGGAGGAGGAAGGGCGGGGTCGGTGGGTGTCTCTGGATCGCTCTCTCGCTCGCTCTTTCTCGCTTGCTTTCTCTCCCGGCCTCATGCGTTTCCCCCCCCTCGCGGCGCTCGCCCGCTCTCCCTCGCTCTCGCTCTGTCTTTTTTGGGCGCCATGCTGAGGGGAAGGTGAGGAGGCGCCCCTCGGACCCCCCGCGCCCGCCCTGGGGAGGGGGCGCCGGGGGGTGGTTGCGGAGACCCACGGGGGTCCTGGCTGCCCCTGCGCCCGAAGCTGGCAGCCATGGGCCTGCTTGCCCGTCGCCTGGCTTCGGGGAAGGGGATGGGGGAGGGGCTCCCGGACCCTTTTTGGGGCATCTCGAGCAGCAGCCCCGCTCTTAGGGGTTTGGAGTTCGGGGGTCTCCTAGCCCCCAGCAGTATCCTTTCTCCTGGGGGAGGCACACCTTGCCCTACTTGGGTAGATACTTTAGCTTTCTTAGGAGGCAGAAAGTGGAAGTGGGGGTTCAGTCCTTTCTCCATCCTTTTAATGGTGGGGTCCTTAGGGTGGGTGCTCTGTTGCACTTCTTTTTTTTTGGCGGGAGGTGTTTTCTAGCGATTCCTTAGAGGGTAGAATGGTGGGGGGATGCATCTGCAGCCCTTTTGAGGAAAACTTCGGCCTCTTTTTGGGGAGAAGACCCTTCTCTGTGTTACCCTTTAAAGGGAAGGGGTCCTTTCGCTTTTCATAGGTAGGTGACGTGGGGGGGTTCTCAGCCTTTTTTGCGGGAGTAAGGTTTGGTTTCTTCGCCTTGGAAGGGAGAGGAAGTTGGTCCCGGTCCCGCTTTACTCCTGGGGGTACCCCCCTCTTTTGGGGTAAAATGGGGCGCCATGCCTTACAGGAGAGAAAAGGAGATTTCCTTGTGTTTGGCAGGGGGTGAAGGGGAGCGCCCCCTTTCCCTTTTGTTAAGTGCGAAATGGGCTCCCCCCACGCCCTTCTCTGGCGGGTGATAATGGGGCCAGGCCCGCGCATTTCAGGGCGAGGTTTGAAGCCCTGTTTCCCCTGCTGGAGCAGAAGGAGTTAGGATGCAGGGTTCGCCCGCCGTTTCCTGGTGGGGCAGGGGAAGAGGTGTCTGGGTTTGGAAATGGAAGGTGGGTTTCAGCCAGCAGGGAAGTGAGTCTTGGAGGGGGTGGGGGTGGGGAGGGGAAGAGAACGCGCTGGACAGATGGCTGCCCGGTCCCAGCCTGGGCTGGGGAGCCGCTGAGGACCCTCTTCTGGATGGCGATCCCAGTCAGGGCTTCCTCGCCAGGCTCCATGGCCCCTTCTCCCTACTCCCACCTCCCCTTTTCCCTTTCTCCTTCACAGACCATACTTTGCCTTTTAAAAGAAATGCCACCCACATTCAGAGACACAAGTGCAGCAGTTTGGTGAGCTTTTACAAATTTTTTTTTTTGTTTTTCTGTTTTGTTCTAATTAAATGTATCATCCTGGGAATCGCAGCCCATCGCAGCCCGACTCCACTTCAAGGAAATAAACAGATTAGCAAAGGTCTGTTTGCTAAGCCCACGTTGGGCTTCCGGGCCCCCTCTCGGGGGCAGGTGCATTACTCAAAGGTGCTTACACGCTTTATTCGACCTCTAAGGAGTTCTCTTATGTCAGAAGTGTATGTCTTACAATGGGTTGGGATGGTAAGTAGCCTCTTTTATTGAGTAATTCAATTATCTCCCTCTTTTTGTCCCTTTCCTGCCTGCCTTCCTCGCCTTTAGACCAAAGTGATGCTTGAGAGAGTGAATTTATATGTTCAAATCAGGATTCTAACCCTGTTGAGCCCTTTTAGACTTGCACATCCTTTCAATGTTAAGTTTTTAAAATTTAACGTACACAGTTTTCTCCAAAAAAAGTGTTACTGTAACATGACAAAAAACAATCTGTAAAAAGCCCATGTTTTCAAATCCTTGGCATCCAGCTTCCCATTTCAGTCCATTACTTTGTCTCCAGCCTTCATCTTTGAAGAAAGTGGATACTTCAAGTCCATTTGTAGGAGACAAGCTTACTGAATTTGATTTATGATACTTGTATTCAAGTTAATGGCCTCCCTTCCCCCAAAAAGATTGTGGTTCAAGTAGATTCAATTTTCTTATTTTACTACAATGTCTCTTATGGTGATGGACGTTAAAATTGAGCAAGTCATTTGTAAAGTACTGTTTAAGCACGAAATCTGTAAACTGTGTCAAGCCCCAATCTCTGCCTGTCTCCACTGCTCCTTTGTTCGAAAGCACATGCCTGACTGTGAAAAGTTGATGCAAACGTGTTACACGCCCAGTCATGTTGGAGAGAACACCTCCTTCAGTCCCCAACCCCCTATGCCCTACACATACAAGGAAAAAAAAACAACAAAAATGACTTGCAGAACCAAACACTGTACTTCTGATGTGTTTTACAAGCATAAGTTCTTCCGTTAAAAGACAAAACACGTTGAAGTTCCATGTTCCCACTTTTGGCCCTTGACATGCTTTGCTAGAGAACTCTTTCTAACACACAGCCCTAATCCGCTCCAAAAAACCGTTTCCTTTTTTCTATTCTTATCAAGGAAAAAAGTTCACTCACATGTAGATGAGGAAATGTAAACTGCAATTCACTAGGCCGCTTGTTTTGTTCTTCCTCTTAATATGTTCACAACCTAAATGCCGTGAAGTGGTGATCTTAGGTGTGTAAAATAAGTTATGGTAGGAGAAATCTCAAACTGTACAGCAGAAAATCCTGCAAAATATGTCTGAAGCACGAACTGAACACACTCACTTATTTGAAGTTTCCCATCCTTTGTAAAATTCCTTCTCCAGGAGCTAAGAGCAGAAACTGGATGATCGATGACCCAAGTTTTAAGGGAGCTACTAAGTTGCTTATTTTTTACTGTGAAATCTTAAGGAAATGGGATTACTTTGTAAGTGAAAATTTTAGCAATCATTCATTGAATTTGAAAATGCTTCCCCAAACATTTAAAGAGCTCTCAGGCATAGCTACACAAGGGTTTATTATTTTTTGTTCTCAAAGGAATTTCATCCAAGTCCAATAAGTCTCAGTAATTAAGTCAGACTGTATTTTGGTGATCATTGTTTTTGAAATGTCACAGTACTGCTTTTTTTCCCCCCAAACTGATGTACCAGTATTAGTTAAAAGTCAAATTAATGGATGTTGCAAAAAAAAAAAAAAAAGAAAGAAAAGGGTGGCACTCAGAATCCCTGATTTAACAACAAATTTATACATTCATAACTTTTTACATTTTTATTTTCTCTGGGTGAAAGGTTTAATTTGAAAGGAGATCAAGATAGTAGAAACAAAATCTGTTGTGACCCTGAAAATATTGATGTTATGGTCATAAAACCTTTAGTTTTTACTTCCCTCAAATTTGCTCTTCAACGAAAAAAAATGCAATTCCTCAGAAGGGCTAATTCATAGCCTGCCCTATCTCCCAGATAGGGATTCAATTTGCTCTGAAGGTTTTAATTCTTGATATGCCAGAATTTTCTTTAAGGAAGGCTAGCTAGCTAATTTAGAAAGTCAATACTGTGGTTTTTCCTTACTTGGGAAGGCTGATCCCAAGGGAATATTTTGTACCTGTGGAAGCAAAGGCTTTCTGCCTGTTTACTGCCTGGCAAGTTAGAGATGAACAATTAACTCCTAAGTTTGTATGTTTCCGTACAGTTGACTGTAGAACTGGTTAGTGATTTATTCAATAATGCTTCCACCTCTGTTCTTTGCTCTTAGATCTTTTACCTTCCTGGGGGGACAGAAATGGCTGTCTCAGGGTTGCCTTACTTAGTCACTTCTGTTAGGTTTTTATGGCTACAGAGTCCCTAGAAACATCTCTTCATATAGGCCAGATCCAGTTACAGTAAATACCTCTAGGATGAAAATCATTAATGTAACTTTTCCAAGTCTCTGTGGATAGCTTTAAATGAAACTATATTGCAGAGAACTTAATTTTGGTCCCTGTGGATTGTATCTGCCAGTGCCAGAGCAACTGGTTCTGCTCCGTGTTAGGAGGTTGAGTGACAGAGCAAATAGTAAGTGGAATTGCTGAGTAGAGCCGGGCACTTAGCCTATACCTTGGCAGCATGGCTACTGACACAATAGGAGAGAAAAAGGATAGTTTCTGAGGTGTCTGGCAGTTGGTATTTATTAAGCAGATTCAAGGAGCCTTAGGAGCAGTCTGCTCACTGGTGGAGAGAATCCTGTCGGAATAAATGCTTTGAGGCCAGTTTCATAATTAAAACCTAATAGGATGGAAAAGCCACCAGTTTGTCTGGATGGCATGTAAAGTTCATTGGGAGAAGGGAAGGTAAAAATGAGATTGTTCGGGGGAGCCAAACTTCATGGGTTTGGTTTTCCCAATTTCTTAGCCTAATCTTTGCTGCAGAGTCCTTTTGCTTTTGGTAGTTAGGGGAGCTGCAGTCTTGAAGACAATTGTGTCAGGTTTTTTTTGTGGTGATTTAGTAATATGAGGTGATATGGGCAGTTTTTAAATAAGTTTCTGGGATATCACCCATTAGTAGCTGGTGACAAAAATGAAGCCGACCTCTTGGTTGAGGCTAGACTTTGTTGTGTCCTGTTATTGGGGTAATATATTAGCACTGAACACAGGGTGTTTACTCAGCATAGTTTGCTTCTGGCCAAATTGCACTGGATAGAGGATCTTGTATTTTTTGCCATTTAGCATCTGTGTGAATTGGTGACTCAGTGCTTTGTTTGTCAGACAAGTGGTGACATCTTTTTGAACATCGGAGGTGGTGACAGGATGTGAAGGAAGAGTGTGGGCTTTGGAGCCAGATAAAACTGTTTCGGCCTGGCCCCTCCCCGGCAGTGTGCAGTAGGCACTGAGCATAATGCCCACTGTTCGGGGTCATTGTGGTCAGTGGGT